ATTCTAGGATCGCATTCTTGTTATCGAAGCTCCAAAGGTCTCCATCAGATGTGTTGCGCTTAGATCGATTGTTTCCGCCCCTGACTGCGGTGGAATTCCTTCCCAGTTGTGGTGGACTGTGCTGATGGCTCGAGCGGAGTCTCCGGATCCTAGGATATTAGTGGTATACTCTCGCCAGCTAGATACTTCTCGATCAGAATACATTGCCCTGGGACCCGCGTTTGGGGCTTCTGAACACCCTGCTCGAGGTCGTGGATGCTCTCAACTTTGGAGAAGGGATAGATTAAAGACGAACATGATAAATAAAGACATCTGTTTCAGATCCGCAGCATGGCGACTTTGGTCCAAGATCTTTAAGACACCATTTTTCAAAGACCATGATATGGGAACGACGGTGAAGAGGGCATTTGGGATGCCCATCTAACATGTCAGTGTTACGAAGGTTTCCTCCCCTGAGCAAACTGGTGTTATTATACCTTTGTCTTGCTCTTATCTAAATACAATTACAAGGCTGCCGCATCGGAAAACACATGCTGAAGCTAGTATGCCTCTAATACCCCCAGGATCTGGGCTTCACGCCCTACCCCATTTATTCCCTCGGAGGTCGAAATGCCAGATCCCACTTCTCATGCTCCCCTCTGGCAATGGATTTTATCAACTCCATTACGTCGCTAACTAGAACAATCTTGATGGCGGCATGACACTATTATGCATATAAAGAAGAACTGTGGCCACCAGTGGACCCCTACACTCTGTATAGTCAGTGCTCTAATAGGAACTCCGGCACAATAACCAGCTTATTTCGCTCTTTCTACAACGAAACATTGACTAGATGCAGCAGCTCAGGCAGCCCTGGTTCTGTTGTTCCACATATTTGTCAAGCCGATGAGCAGGTGCTGTCTACTTTATACGCAGTACTATGTGAAAATTCTGAACATGGAATCCAGTCCATTAATACATCCTGGTTTCAACAATTTCAGCTAATCGACATTGCTGCATTTCTCAAAGAATATTTCCTCTGTTCTTCGAGCGTGTGTCGAATTTCACCTCTAAAGATTCTGTAAAAAATACCAAAGGTATGTTCATATACTCGAGTAAGCTACGAGTCCGTGTTCAATGGTAGCTCTCTCGACACCGGTGGTACTCTACCAGTAGCCTTCAAGCCTGCTCGGCATCCTTAACCGCTGCACAGATTGAATACTGGAGAAAGATTCCAGCCTGGCTCGATATTACAAAGGCTCGATTCCTCAATTACGAGTGGCAGGTGTGAGTGCGAGAGCTGTTTTCTATATCTAATGAGCTGACAAGTCAGATGAAAAGGTTTCTCGAAAATTCGTCTTCATTACTCGCGTTTCTCGGCTCCGTCATACCTCCAACTATCCCAATGACAAACGGCCAGGTCACGACGCGAGTCCTTCATATCCGACGTCGCAACGGGAATACAGAGTGCCCCCATAGCTACCCGTCTGACGCCACACATCCTGGCTTTGGCTATAAAATATATAAATAGAATGCCCCCACTTCCCATCCCATCAGCCATTCTACCAGAAACAAATAAAGTGTTAAAAGTGTTGCTACACCCAGCGGTTCGGGGTCTATTAGCAGTCAGTTCCAATGTTATTGGGCATATACCCTCCAGGTGCATAACGGATAAACAGTTAAGCACATCCATTTACGAAGAAAGCCACACTGATCTTACCTACTTTTTACCTAATACTTGTCGGTTTCTAGCTAGCCCTAAAGATCCTATACGTCCAAAGAGAAACACGGGCAAGCACCAGTGTGTAGGAAAACATGAGTTGTGTCGTGTGCACAATATAGATAGCAGACTTACAGTTCTCCATTCAGGCATATATACGGAGTGCTCCGTTTTGCCTGCAAATTGCCAAATTCTCATTTGCCATTTGCGTCCAGGGGGAGAATCCAGTCCAGATCGAGCCAATTTTTATTTACAGGGGGCCGTTCGCATGCGGTCACGTGCGAACCCCCTTTGGAAATTCAAGGCGCTCTTTCTTTGCTTTGAATTCTTCTGTTATTTGCTTGGTATACTTTGTCTTCATATCTCTACTTCTTTCTTAAACGTTCATTCTAAGGTTTATCTTCGCTGTTTCAAAATTGCCGGGCGTCGATCAAACCGTCTCACGCGACCTAGTGTCGTGGCATCAAGAATTCTCCCGCCCTCAAGAACGGTTCCTCCTCTTTTACTCCTTGCGGTTGTGAAAGATCATCGTCTATACATTCAACGTGCCACTTCCAACTCTAATTCACTCTTTCTGCGGGAAACCCGCTTTTCATCATGAAGATCAACCAGTCGTCCTTCCTTCTCTTCCTTCTTCCCGCCATTTCGACCGTGCTCGCCGACACAACATACAATGACAACATAGATTCTCGAGTCTCGCGTGAGACTGTCGGCAACAACGCTCGTCTCGTCGACTCGGATATCGTCGCATCCAATGTCGCCAAGGGGCCGCCGGACGTCCCCGTGGATGGCAAGGATGGCAAACCGCACGCTGGTCCGTGGGTGGAAACCAACGCAGACCGGGACTCCAAAATTGTCAAGGGAAGCGATGATAATGGCTCGGTATCTACCAAATCTGACATCAAACTCTCCTCCTCGGAGCACCTGAGCACCGAAGACGGGAAGGTGATCCCGCATTCAAACGGCGGCGTCATGGATGATCCGTATCGGGCGGGCCCGAGAGAGGGGACACGCGGAACTGAGGGTGGTGTGTCTGAGAAAGGCAAAGGGAATCAATTGGTCTCGGAGAAAGTTCCCGGAGGGCCAAAGGAGGCGCCTCCGCTGCCGCATAGCGAGACGAAGAAGCTGGTCTCTGATAGCGAGGACACAACAACTGGGAGTGCAATCCGATCTGTGGAGGGTTCGGGAAGCCTTGGCATGCTCGAGGTAAGATTTCCTATACATTCGCTCTAGCCCGAGGTCCTTGAACAATCGAATTAACGTGCATCTAGAAACCATCCGGATTGCCTGAAAAGCCACACGATATTCCATACCCCGAAGCCCCAGCCATGGTCAAGGAGGATTCTCTGGGACTTGGACACGACTCAGTCGCCTCGGGGTCGTCTTCGAGTTCGTACTCGAGTTCGTCCTCATCCTCGTTGAGCCACGACCACGACCATGACTCCGGTATCCCCGATGCCGGCAGCCCAATGCACTCCCTTATATTCTCGTTCACCATGATCCTCGTCTCTGAAATCGGCGACAAGACTTTCCTTGTGGCTGCCCTGATGGCCATGAGACACGACCGCTTGGTGGTGTTCAGTGCTGCATTTAGCGCCTTGATTGGCATGACTGTGCTTTCAGCCGTTCTGGGCCATGCAGTTCCTACTCTTATCCCTAAAACCTTCACCAAATTCATGGCTGCCATTCTCTTCTTGGTATTTGGTGTGAAGATGCTCAAGGAAGGTCGTGAAATGTCTCCAGATGAGGGTGTGGGTGAAGAGATGCGAGAGGTCGAGGCGGAGCTCGAAGAGAAGGAGCACGAGCAGCTGCGTATGAACCGCCGCCGCTCATCGGTTACTCCTCACAACCTCGAAGCAGGTCGCGCTGGCCGTCCGAAAACCCGCGGCTCTGGAAACCGCCTGCCCTCGCCTCCGGAGAGCTTGTCCTCGTCCTCGTCCCGTGGATCTTCCCCCCAGCCCCGACAACGGTTCAACAATGCCGTTTCCGGGTTGACCAACCTCTTTTCCCTGCTTCTCAGCCCGGCCTGGGTTCAGACATTTGTCATGACCTTCCTCGGCGAATGGGGCGACCGCAGCCAGATTGCCACTATCGCCATGGCAGCTGGCCAGGACTACTGGTGGGTGACCATTGGCGCCAGTGCTGGTCACGGAATCTGCACCGCAGCCGCCGTGATCGGCGGACGGGCCATCGCTGGCCGGGTCAGCATGCGTGTTGGTATGTATCCTCTGCTTGCTTTCTTATCCATGACACACGCTAATCTTGACTTTTATAGTGACTCTTGGCGGCGCTGTGGCGTTCCTAGTGTTTGGCGTCATCTATTTCATTGAAGCCATCTCTTAAAGCACTGCATCTCCGCGGTTGTATGTGTCTATGGAAACCCATTGTTACAGTTTTTGGCGGTTGATTTGTTTAAAGGTCGAATGAATGCATCTTGTGACATACCTAGGACTGTCTTAATGATATAATTACGTGTCTGGCCCACGCAATGGCCAGTTTCACAATGTTACCTTTTTTCCTCCATTGTCAAATCCGAGTCTCACATCGATCCACCTTGATACCGTACTGGGTAGCAGATCAAATGTTGTAATAAAGTCCACATTCTAAGCTTTTTTCCGCATTGTAATTGCCGTCTACCAATAAAACTGAGAGGTGTGAAACTCCCCAAAAGATCTAAAAATAAAAACCGAGACGACAACATGGATGTACAAACAATATATCGCATCAGCGGACGACTATTTTGTAATAATAATTCGTCAAGTGGAAATCCAATTTCAAATGTACCAACTGTTATTTTTATCCAGCAACGTAAAGCTTCTAATCATTTTATTCCAAGTCGTAAGAATCTTAAAATCATCTTTTCTAATTCAAATAAGGCAGGTTTGGAAGGTCATCATAGCTTCGACCCTGTGGTCGCTCTCACGCATTGGTCACTTTTATGTGGGTCAAATAGGGTCTAGGTTCGGGTTTAGGGTCTGGAGGTTAGGGTCTACAGCCTTGTATTTCAGGCAGAGTTAAGGTATTAAATTACTGAAGGCGGCTAGCTGATCGCGCGTTATTGATCTTCCTTTTTTTCCGAGAAACGCAGCCCCGAAAACCCTGACACGTCGCCTCCCACCCCCTCAACGCATCCCCCCTGAAGTCTCCATCGAATTCACACCCATCTCGTCAAAAAGCGACCAGAAAGGCCTTTTTTTTCATCTGATTTTTTTCAGCCTGATCAAATTTTCAACAAAACGTAGTGCAAAAGCGACAACAACACGCGTGGAGGCTCGACGCCGCCCCACACCCACCGCCTTTCATGGCACGCATCACGGGATCACGCATGACTCGAAGTCAGAGTCGGGAAGCAAATGCAGGGTTTATGCCAAACAAGGCATCCTTTGAGCGAAATTGTAGGTGATTTTCTAGTTGTTTTGGTCTAGCCCTATCAACTTCATGTCCTGTGGCACAGTGGGCCCGGGAACTATGCATTGAACTATTCCAAGTTTTGTATTCCTCAACCGGGCACTCGTTTGATACTTACTGCATTTCCTTGTGACTTTGCCTCACTTTTTATCTGCTGGCTCTTCATTTCAATCTCACAATTGAGTGTGTTCTGACTTTATTCAGGGTTGACCGGGCTGACTGAGGAGCCATCCACCCCTTCTCCCGGGTTCATTGTACCCAGGCATGTGATACCAGAGTCGCCGGAGAACCATGAAGGCCATACCAATGTGTCTGGTACCACCCTGGGTCACAATGAGGTGGAGCGTCACAACGAGGTGGAGCCTGTTGACTCTCAAGTCGCCGATAAAATCGCAACTCATCTGCCGTTCGTTCAACAGCAGGCGACCCTTGTCATGAGTCTTTTGGTTCGCCCAGATTTGAACCCGGACAGCCTTGCAGCTGAGTCCAAAAAGATCGTCGATTCTAACCACCCGAATCGCAAACGCTTGAGACGATCCGTGGAAGGGCTGACTGATGAATTGGAAGACTGTCCTCTTTCTCGTGATGGCAAGTCATTCTTGGACATCTCTCAGGCTCGTCGTCTGCTTTCCTCCGTGCATCTGGATGGGTCAATCGCAGATATTTACATGACAAACTGCGCTCTGTTGACCCTCAACATGTTTCTCCCTAGCATGGGTACCGAGCCCCAGTCTGAGGTCATCCAACAGCTGGATGCCCAGTTCCCCGCATGTCTCATGGACAACCTTGCAGACAGTTCTATGTCAAGGAAAATTGGGGCGAGTACCACCGCTGAGGCTACCTTCAATCTTGCATTGGGTATCCGCACGCAGTTCTTCATCATGGAGTTAGAAAGACGCCAGCATGAGCAGGACTTCAACCCACTCTCCATCTTGAGACAGGTTTTTGCTATGGACCTTGTGTCTAGCGAAGATGACTCGGAGAGTATCCCCAGTTCCTTCCGAGGATTCAACTTGCCGGGTGTCTTACAGGACGATGATGGCCATCTTCCCGAACACCTCCCTGAGAAGTTTCTTATCGCCGTCGGCGATAGATTCAATGAGCTTCACGAGGAACTTTCTGAGTGGGATTCCGTTGATATTGATGGTTTGAAAAAGGCATACAGATGGCGCTCATTTGAGCGGGACCTTGCACGTTGGATCTACGCTCGTGACAGAGAAATCAAGGACGATATCAGACGCTTGTCAGAAATGGCAGACAAAGTCCATAAGTCACCCGCCTCTCGTCGTCTTACTTCTGTCCCGGTTGGAACTCCCAGTCGGCGCCAAGTATCGACAGTGCCTCCCAGTGATGAAAGCCCTCGTCGGGGGCCCTTGGCCCGAAAGACCCAGTCTCCTCAGAAAGAACGCTTGATTGACATGGCACCAGATGCAGTGAACGCATCCCAGGCATCCCAGGCATCCCAGCCATCCCAGGCACCTCAGGCTGACAAAATACCTGAACACAACGCTTCTCGCTCACGCACCACTTCTCAAAACGTTCCTGGACGAACTGTCTCCGACGAAGTCGAACAGGTGGCAGCAAAAGATCCAAGTCGGCGCAAGTCCAAAAGGTATGCTCGCTCTACAGTTTCCCTCTTTCTTTTTGTGGCTACTAACTTTTATTCATAGCAACTATCGAGACCCAGCCTCATTCGCGGCACTCATGAGGCGCCAGGCTACTAGTCAGCAGCAACCTGTCTCGGTTGAATCGCAAGCCGTAAACATTTCTACGAACACAAGTATTGTGGCCCAAGCGATTAATCCTGGCCCTTCTGTTGGTGGCAGAGTTGAACCTCCTGAAATTCAACAATCCCCCGAGCTGAGATACGCAGACATCGGGGATGACTCTACATACGTAAATAATGACGAAGAGCTGGACCTCGGCAATGACCCAGAGACTGATGTTATCACATCGACAAGCCCCCCGAGCTCGGCTAGAATTAGTCGGGTCAGCCACAATCCTACTCCTCTGTTCTTTGATTCGCCCAGGGATGAAAACACACAGCGATCGGTTCCGGTCGCTCGGCGCTTCCTCGATAAGCAGACTAACGCTGGAGTTGTGTCGCCGATCAGCCAATTTGACACTCAAAGTGCGACTGTACTGGGGAAGCGTAATCGGAATGTTGATGATCTGGATAACGACTCAAGCGACGAGTCAGACAATGAATTCGAGACGAACAATCAGGATGTCGAGCCTATGCGTCGGGTGGAAAAGCCTGCCTCGAAGCGACAGCGCCCCCAGGATAATGGGGGCTCTACCTCAGCACAGTTGCAAGAGGAGATTAATAGATCGTTCGACCACCAGTCTAACTCAGCACAGCTTTCTCAACGGGTCCAGAGAGCTGACAGTGAGGATGTCACCGATGAAGAGACTGCCGCTGAACAGCACGAACCGCCCTCTAGTACCCAGAGTCGTTGGGCAGCCTCAAATTCCCAGGCTGCGATGATCAACCGGGCAGTTTCGAAGGCCAGCTACAGGTGGACTGAGGAAGAAGATGAACGTTTGCTTCACCTTATGGGAATCTTTGGCACTGCCTATGCCGCAATCAAGAAGCAAGACAACGCTTGTCCTGCATCTGAGGGTGGCCCCATGCTTGAGCGTCGTTCTCAGGTCAATTGTAAAGATCGTGCTCGCAATTTGAAGAGGAAGTACATCAGGTAAGACATGACACCTTTTCGTCCTTTGTGTAGCGAGCAATTCTGACGTGTTTAACAGAGAAGGTCGACCGCTTCCGCCGAACTTGGATAAAGCACCAGGTTAATTTGATGTATTCATGATTTACAGTCGCAGTTTGCTCTTGCGTTTCTTAGCGTTCGTCGAGATACCCAAAGATACCCAACGAGCACATAAGATGGCTTTTTGATGTTCATTTCTATGATTTTGTTTTCTTTTTGTTTTCGAGTGTATGAATTTTTTTTGCCTTGCACAGGGCTCTTCTACGAAGAAATATTGATGGTTGGATGATTCTTTTGAGTTATCCTTCATCGATTTTTGTTGTCACGATAAATGAATTGTTACACATGTCGAGCATCTCTTCATATCTGATTTACTGGCCATTGAAATTACTATTCCTGTAGTTAGCGTGGCTGTGTCTGATCTCGTCATTCAGCCATAATGATCAGCTTCACTTCTTTTCCACCTCTTTAGAAGATATTCTCAATCACTTGAACAACATCGCACATTACTCCTTTTACAATGAGTTTCGGGTTTAGCATTGGGGATTTTCTCGCTGTCATCGAATGTGCGAACAAGCTCAGAAAAGTGTTGCGACACCTGCTCAATTCAACGCAATCTCCGATGAGTATGATGTCCCGAAACGATTTTTCGATTGGTTTAACGTATGGTTCTACAGAGTGAGAAGTCTTTCGATTGTGGTACGGGACGTTGAAGTCAATATTTCCGACAATCTCACTTCATCATCGTCCATCATTTTTAACACGTTATATAAACCTTCTGCAACGTTCTTCCGATGGTCTTCTTTTTTCGTTAATAGAATGATCATCCGGCAAAGAATAACAAATGGGAGAAAGGAGTCACGGGGAGTGTTTTGCACCGGGATGGTGAGACATCAAGTAGAACCTGAAATGAAAGGATGCATTGAGCCAAGATCAAGGCCAAAATACAAGGAATCAATGGCTTTGTTTGGAATGTATGAAGGATGAACACGAAGCCGATAGAGACGATGTTATATTGCCGAGGTCTTACCAAGTCCTTTGTTCGGTCTTTGATAGATGACGCTGATGGTTCCCATGACGATACAGTATCAAAGAACGGTATTTATTCCACGAGTTTCGGGGTGCATCGCACACAAAGAAATAAAGATACCATGCAGAATACTCTAACAAGATATGAGGCCAACGGATAACTCCTACACGGTACATAGCGGATGAAAGATTATCTATAGTATAAAAACAGATACATTTCATGAGAAATTAGCCCCCCAGATCAACTCCAAATTACCCAGGACCGGTTACTTGTATCAAATCAGACCTTCAAGAAAATTGTTGATCCCGGTATCAGGTATCAACCCTCGAAATGGACAACGGCAAGGGCAAAAACAACGGCAAAAACAAGGGCAAGGGTAGAGGTAAGAAAAGAAGCCAGAATCGGAAGGAGAACAAGGCCACAAAGAAGGTTGAGCGCAATACTAAGGTCGAGAACCAGCCTAAAGTCGAGATCTATGACGGGCATCACTGTCGCCGGAAGCGACCTACTCATGTGCGAAGTCTGCGATGCCTTCGTTTAGGCCATGTGGTCCAATGTCCGGAGCATCCTGAAAGCTTCCCGCGACGATTGAGTGAATGTGTGAAGTGTAACAGTGCTGACAAGCGACAAGTGCAACAAGAGCGCAACGATAGAAAGAAGTAGAGTAATAGAATAATTTGGTACTTTCCAGACGCAGATCAACTCTGTGTCTTGCTATTGTTATATATAGATCTACGTACATGAATTGTTATTGGCTACGTATTTATTCTTAGTCACTATTATTACCCCTCCTTGTATTTCTCATTCTACACCCAAGTTCTACACTTTGAACACTTTAAACAGCGAAGGTATTCACTGTGTTCTCGTAAAAAAAAAAGCCAGATGTGGAAGAATACAAAACCGAAGCATCTTGCCTTCAGAGCACATGATCGACATGTTGTAACCTGTTTGCAATTTGATACCGACAAGGTTATAGCGGCTAGCGACATCTCCCAAATCAATGTGTACGATATCAAGACCGGGGCGCTTCGAGCAAAACTGGAAGGCCACACAGGTGGTGTATGGGGGCTTGAATTCCATGACAATACTCTGGTATCTGGATCGACCGATGGTACCCTCCGAGTATGGGACATTGCGGGAGCCGAATGCACCCATGTGTTCCGAGGTCACAAATCCACAGTACGGAGCCTACAGATATTGCTCCCAGTTCAAATTGACCAGCATCCAGATGGTACACCAGTGATGATGCCCGAACAACCTCTAATCATTTCGGGCTCCCGTGATTCGACCATGCGGGTCTGGAAACTTCCTCAACCTGGCGACTCGAAGTATCTGCCTCCTGCTCCAACCGACGAGGAATGTCCATACCTTGTCCGTGTATTGACTGGTCACCAACACTCTGTGAGAGCACTCACAGCATACGGGAACACACTGGTCAGCGGTAGCTACGACTGTACCGTGCGAGTTTGGAAAATATCCACCGGGAAATCACTGCACACGTTACATGGCCATACAATGAAGGTTTATAGTGTAGCTTTGGACTGCAAGAGGAACCGCTGTATCAGCGGATCAATGGACCACGTGGTCAAGATCTGGTCTATAGATACAGGTGCATTGCTATATAATCTCGAAGGCCACTCGTCGTTGGTGGGCATACTTGATTTGAAAGAAGACTGGCTCGTGTCGGCGGCTGCAGACGCTACTCTTAGAGTTTGGAACCCTGAGAATGGCCATTGTCAGAGCATGTTTGCCGGTCATACTGGAGCGATCACATCCTTCCAGCACGATGATCAAAAAGTAGTCTCTGGTTCCGACACGGACGTGAAGATGTGGGACATACGGACTGGTACTTTGGAAAGGAATCTCCTCACCAATCTTACCGGCGTCTGGCAAGTCAAGTTTGATGGCGATCATTGCGTCGTGGCAGTTCAACGTGAATCCGTGAGCTATATCGAGGTTAATATGCGTCCAGACTGATATGCCATTTATAATTTATTGATCCATGAAGGTACTCGATTTCGGCGCACCACTTGACGATGTACCATCTGACCGGGTCGGGAAGCGGGTTTTGGTTAACGAGCTAGGTGATGAGATCGAAGGCCCAAAGGGAAGTGTTGGCCTGAACAATTAAATGTCACGAGCGAAGTCGGCTTCGCTGCAAGCAAGTAGCCACTATACAACATCTAATCTAACAAGCTCGACATCACGGACTAAGGCTATGATAGTTGAAAAGTTCAAGTGAGACAAGACGCAGAAGTAATTTCAACGTATTTAAATATTAGTAACAACGTAATCCAGGAAATACAATTGAAGCCCATCAAGTGTTCCACAACCTTCCTGTGTCTTTTCCTTTCGTAAGTGCTTCGAAGCTGTCAAAGCTAGGCCGAGTCTTGAATATCTCCCTTCCGAGGATTGTAGTCGATGGATGAAGCATGGCGTCTCCAGTGTACATCGCAGCAACCTAGGACAAAGTGAACAAAATGGAGTAAACTATTTATGATGGGATATGTTAGCATATAGTCATGTATTAAGCCTTTGTATGGTAGAGCCCTTACCCATTGACAACCATGAGTGAGAAAGCAGCGATGAGCATGGCCCACAGCGAGGCCCCTGAGTATCTATTTCTATAGTATACGGGCTCGCTTATAAGGCCGAACAATCCGAAAAACCACAGGAGGACTGTAAAGATGAAATCTAGGGCAACATGGGCACCAGGGTGGATAGGCCGTTTGAGGGTGATTAGGATCACATTGACCAAAGACCAAATTCCTGGGATACCGATCTGTATTTCTTAGTTAGACTGCAATTTCAAGAAACGTTACTGCCATTTGAATATTCGGGTCCACGAACAATGATATAGTATACCCAAGGCTGGCTGCGCCATGAGGCCCCAAAGACTGACATTGCAACGACGGCCAAAAGTACAGCAAAGACACGCAAGCCTAGCCTAGTCTTGCTGGTTTCAGAGGCTGATATGTTGGTCATGTTGGTGGTTTAATGAGAAAGTTCACAAAATGAGATGCAATCCAAGATATTGAAGAAGAGATAGATATCCATCGTACTGTAACCGGGAGGAGTTCGGTCTATTTGAAGGCAGCTAGAGAATCTTGACTAAAATCTACTAAATGGCAGTGCATCTTGCCCTGGTTAAGATCATCGCTGGGCGCAGCCTTGCGGGTCACGTAAATAAGTTCACCGAGAAGCCAACTTCTCTCGTAACGTTCATTACATCATGAGATCGATGATCGGAGGAATGCCAACTTTGACGTGTTCTTATTTTCTCTATAAGCGATTGCAGGAGGTCCGAGTAAAAGATGGGAGGCTACTTGCAGTTTTCCGTTTTAGGAAATGTTGCGGAGCACCTTAGGGACGGGAAGTTTTGGCCCCATCGCCCCCCCATCGATGATGATCCATCCAGTTTTAGCTAGATCTACCTGTCTAAGAGCCAAAGAGCCGCATGGCGTAATGAAGTTTGCCCCAGGACGATTGGTGAGAACCATAATCCCACAGTCTCCGTGTCAGTATGCCCTGGATTTCATGCTAATTAATGCTGGGGCCTAGTAAATATAGCAAGCATGGTTTCCCAGCAGTAAGATCTACCTTCCATGTGATAGTATTCTCTGTGATCTATTTATGTATCGAATTCATTTCATTCGAACGTAATCATCGCCTATATCTTTCAACTAGCGAACTCATACACTATAAATCGACCCAAGCGCATAATTTCCGTACATCCTTAGCAGGACGACATACAACAAGACGTATAGTCAGCAAGCAGAGGAAGGGAGGCTAATATGGAAAATCTATGCAGGTACAGAGTTGAATGTTAGCCGATATCAATAAATGAGGTCTAAAGCGAATAGCCTAACACACATTTGGGCACCATAAGTTAAGCAGTTTTCCGATGACTTTGGGGATCTTGCTTGGTATTTCATCTATTTGTAGATCTCTGGTTAGGTCTTCCTCCCCTAGTAGTAGGATGTACCTACTTGGTGCTGCAAAAGAGGTTCGGTGTCACTACCACCTGGCTGAACGGGCCCTGGGGTTTCTTCCGAGCGGGCCTTTGACATGATTATCCGATGAAATGAATGTGTATTCTTCAAATTTTTACAATAATATCCCTGAATACTGAAAATAAAAGATATGGACTGGCCAGTGAATTTATGGAAGATAGGACAAGGTGAAAATGCCTCGATCGAGTTACTGAATCTTATGGTTTCTGCCTACAACAGTCCCAAGAAAGATTCACCCTGCAAAAGCGGTCAACATGATAATCATATCACTTCCCAATCAGTCATAGCTTTGTGTATTTGACTTGTAAGGTATCATTGATCTATTTGTCCATAGCCTAGTATCTTCTATATTACTACCATAAATGTCGAATGTTGATACTAAACATAGCATCATTCTTACCTGTATGTAATTGAAACGGCATGCATAAAATACAGGCAGAAATCTTGACGCTAGTAGATCCAGAGGTGGGTGAATCTTTCTAGGGTACTCTGTAGGCTGTTGGAGATGAAAGCCAAGCCAAGTCAAATTACAAGTAATAACTAGCCTCTTGGCATTGGGTCATGGCTTTTGCTATATTGTAGCCCCCACTTGGAGTGGCTATGTTATGCGCATGCGGCAGTACGCGATGATCTCTCCCCAGGTATTTCGACTTTGATATTTCTCTTTTCTTTTGACATCTCGTGCTCTATTTCCTTTCTACATATCACCGAATATTTGAAAATGGGAAACCCAGACCTTGCCTACAGTAACAAGAATGCCGAGGCAGTATCTAACCCTCCACCATATTCATCTATAACCGAACCCATCGATGAGCCACCGAGCTACCAACAACCGAGCGTATCACACGGACTGTCCCGCGATGTGTCTCCTAGATCAGAGGAAATGGTGGACATTGATGAATGTGCCACCCACCTCAAGCTTTTATCTGCGACCGCCAAACTTCGCAGCTCGATTAGAGCAAAGGACAAACTCTTCGAAGTCCGCGATAATGAGGTCGGGGGCTTTTCAGACCCCCGCAAACAAGTGCAGGCAGCCGCTCGCATTCAGGAAAAGAGATGGGCTGTTTATGTGGCCAGAGCTGTGGACCGATTTACTGTTTGGTGGCAGACTTGCCTACCGAGTCTCAATACCAGCCGCATCTCAACGCTGAATAGTTCACCTGAAGCCATAATAGCCTGGTCTGCTAATATTTTGCCTCCACTTGGTCAGTTATTCCTTTGGGAGCTGTGGTATTATCTCTAACTTGCCACCTAGATGTTATCATGGTCTGGCATGCATATATGCTTAACCCACGTGCCTTTCTCGAGGATTGCTTGCGTCAATCTAAAATGAGCGTGTGGGCCACTGGGATGCCATGGGATATCATAGACGCATGCATCGACAATGAGACTCTAGTCTTCGACCCAGGCAGTGAAGCGAGGATAAACTTCGAGACAAGAACTGGTCATTCCTGGGAAAATATCCATGAAAGTCCCAACAAATCTCTGCGATGCTTCCGTTGTAAACATGAAGTTCTTGCTCCCTGGACGGACGGATCAATTGGATGCGATCCAGATGTGGCTTTTGCACACTGCATTGGATATGCAGACAAATCATTGCGGGTTTCATGCCCAGCCTGCAAATTCATTATCACACACGATTCTCTTCGCGTACAAAAGTTCCGCAGTGATGTGCAGAAGTTATTGAAAGATGGTTTGCCTATGCCGGGCACGCTTTTGGCGCAGAATGGCACTCCCGCCGACGATGAAAATGGCGACAACGTGTGCCTCCCAAACCGGCTTATCAAGGAAGACATCAGAAGCGAGCTCCTACTGCTTACAGACCCCACCGAGAAGGAAAGCACCAGCATTGAGATAATCCGCGACCACATCGAGGGATTTTTAAAGAGTCGCTCATTGTTGCGTCGCGTGAACAAGACAATGTTGACTTCTGGGAATTCGAGTATGCCAGAGAGGATATCCTTTCGCAATGTGCTCTCCAGGTATTGGGACAACTCATCCCCCTTCGCCATCGACTTGATCGGGGCAGTTATACGCCAAGGAACGTTTGTGGACAAGATGGACAATATCGGTTGGATACGTTCGTCACGCTTGAGATCCACCATGGGTCACTTCATCGGCAAGTACGGCGTGTTCTTCCAAATAATCACGAAGAATAAAGGCCACGCTGTTGTCCCGACTCTCGATATTGACCTGATTTGGCACACGCACCAACTTTCTCCTGCTCGCTATTACGCCTTTTCTACTGCGCAGACAGACGGTATATTCATCGACCACGACGACAAAATCGACGAAATAAAGCTCAATGACGCCTTTGCATGGACCTCAAAACAATACCAAAAACTCTCTGGGGGCAAGATATACAGCGAATGCATTTGCTGGTATTGCGAGGCGTTGCGGGAGTCCAACAATCAGGGACTTGGCAGGTTGATATCGTCGTCCACCTTGCAAGCCAAAGCCAACGCTGCCCTCCTTCACGATAGTGCCAGTAATACCACCGACGGGGTTAAAGTCCAAGGGCCCCATATTTCGTCCCACAATGCAGTTCGCATCCTGGCCCAGGCTGATCCAAAGGCAATACAGACCAAGGCCGCCCAGCTTGAATCATGCTGGGAGAAAGCGCAACGGCGGTCACATAAGCGCAGTGGCAGCAAATGCGGCGGTGAAGACCCGTCAAGGAAGGCTTCCTACGGCCCCTATGTGCGCGATCCAGAAATTCTTCGCGAAATATATCCTTGTAATCCAGCTTGTGTGAATATCACCGCGGGCGTGGTAGGCAACTGCATTAGCGGAACACAGGGCATTGGACTTGCACAAGGTGCATGCGTGAGCGATGCCATGCCTGCCCAGACAAGAGGAAAAGGTAAAAGCTTCTGCGCTGGCATAGCAGGCTGTGGCATGAGCCTCTAGCCAGTCAGAAAATGTATAGGTGCTGAAGTACCAAACCTAGTGTCCTCTGGGTTAATATAAAAAGCACTAGACAATATAGACAAGTTTTCAATGCACGAATATCCTATTCAATATAGTCAATGTTGCGAATGATCTCGAGTAACAGAAGAAAGTGCGTATAAGGCGAGAGGGTAGCTTGGCCCAGCTCTCAGAAGTCGCACACAGTGGAGGAGCTACTACTACATTGAGGGCATTTTTGAACAGCGGATCTGCGCAATATCCTAGCTCTATAAATGAGGCATTTACTGTCTTCGAGCTAGCTAGTGCATGTCAACTGCCCCTATGGATGCATCTTCAGGGTTAATTTCTTTAAAAATGCCATTGGCACAAATTTAAATTGTCCGAGAAGGATATCGAAGTCCATCCGGTAGTAAATAGCGAATGCTGATCTATCACGCAAACCGAAAAATAAAAAAACGAGTGTAGGAATGCATATCCCAAGATAGGCAGTAAATGCACCCTAAATCCGACCAGCGGATCCAGCACAAGAAACGTAAACAGGAGCTGGATATTATCCCTGATATCATGAATGCCCTGTTGAGGCAGCGAGGGGTATAACTGTACATGCAATGTAGAGTACACGGAATCAAAACGACAGTATATATGCAGCTTCAATCACAAGATATGAATGCAAGAAACTTCACAGAAGCAAGCTCATGCCCGCAATAACAGCGCCGAGGAGCGATGATCCCGCGCGGACTGTTCCGGCCGCGTTATCCGTGGGCGTGGGGGAGGCAGTTGCGACAGCGCCAGAGGCAGAATTAGAAAAAGCGTTGGCACTCTTTGATGCCGCGGTCGCGATACCAGTTGATGAGCTGGCTGTCGAGGGTGCGACGATGATTCCGCCAGCTGCGGTGGCAGCAGTGGGTTCAATAGTAGTGGTGCCGTTTTCGGAACCAGCGGCTTTGACGTTCTCAGCCGCCTGGATTACGGTGAAAGTCTCCATACCACCGCCTAGACAAGAAATATGAAGTCAGTAATGATCCTGTTGCTGTGGTGTATATAACATTGTGGGTAACTCACAGTTTTGAGCGGCGTATCCAGGGCAGCGCACATCGCACTTATCGTCGGCGATCTTAACGGAGTCCGAGGGGACTTTATTGCCGCAATAGCACATGTTGCCACGGCTCAGAGCTGCGACCTTGAAATCTTTCCCTGTGCATTGGGCTTCGCAATATCCTAGTGATTGATATGTGTACGGACCCTGGTTTTTGAACGATTCGACTTCGGAGAAGCAACCCATACCAGCGGTGGAGCTAAGCGAGTATACGGGAAGAGCTAGGGCAAGAGCCGAGAAAATGTAGTTGGTATGCATGATTGGTGGTGGGGGATGTATTCGGTCAACGAATTAAAAGAGTGAAAATTTGGTTGAGAAAAGAGAGAGGTGAGAAGTCAAGGAAAATCTGCGAAAGAGCGGAGTGGTTTGACAAACAATGGTGACAGAGAAAAAAAGGGTCTCGTCAAGCTTCTTTTAAGGCGACCGTTTGGTCGGTGTCAGGAACACCCGTCGGGCTCCATCTTTTTTCGAGTGTTTTTTTGTGGAGTAAAACAGAGACTGATGACATCGATGTCCAATTGATTAACCGGAAATAGCAAATGATCATCCTGAAACACTAAGCAGCATGCTCTATTGAACTCGTACTGGGTCTCCATAGGGGCTCATTGGCTTGCGAGCTCAGGATCACCCGATCGGCATCCCCAGGTGTGGCCACTTGTTTCCTTTTTGGGCGACCAATGACGGCGGATGGAGCCCCGAGAGTCAAATGGGATGAACTTGAGGAAACAGTTCGCGTGTTTCTAGTTTGCGCTTGCCTTGATTGGGTATAGATCGGTTTGAGGGAGGTGCATTTGTGAGGAATCTCACATTGCTGGTCATCGATAGCCCCCTTGTTTCTCCTTTTTTTAGGCTGGTATTCTGGATTATTCTCCATATTCTGCAAGGTAAGATAGTTAGTTATTGATATGCAGCATATGTAAGTACATGTATGTAATTAGGATGGACATTAAAATTGAGTATGAATTCTATTTTTGATCCATGGTTCAGCCGAGGCTTCCGTGTGGGATGGGATGCCATGTTTCTCAGGTGACCAATACAACCCTATCCTTATATTCTTTCAATGTAACCCAAACCAGATTCGGATACCTCTTTTTGACCTATACAGAGATCGCACAGGGATAATGGACTTAATTAGGGTAATGGTATTGAATTGCGACATGTCCCCCTATTTTCATGTGGAATCCTTTTCACGAAAAAGCGCTAACTCTGATGACCTGTCTTAGTTATTGTCGCCACGCCCCTCCAGCACGGCACTTAAGACCATGTTGTCAAGTTACTTCGACTAATATTCTGAAGCCAATTTTGTTATTTGTTTGTCTCAGCCTCACGGAGGGAGGACCGGAGGGTCAGCGTGTTTCTGGGAGGAAGAGTGGGATTTGAAATAACTTTTCAAATTGTGCAGAAAGGCATAGGCTCTCTGAGGACTCATGCTGTAGATGAGTTATCGCCAGAGGGTGAATGAAAGCCACGAAGATGATGAAGATAGTGCTGGCTGGACCGATGAGTTGGATTATCTTTTAGCTGAATGTCTCTACTGAAATAAATCGAATGGAACCAAAATCTATCAAAGATGCCAGCCTGTCCGAGTATAAGTGATTAGTCCGATCGGAACAACAACTGTACCGAGGGAGGCAGATGCTGTGTACGGAGGAGGGGCATCTGGATCTGGAGGCACGGTCTGGGGATCCGATTGTGCCTGGTGGTATGTTAGTTGGTATGGGTTGTGCCTCGATCGGAGTGACTCACGATCTTTGGGCATGCACAGAGTATCATGGCATGCTGGGACGAGCGAATGTGGTGGTTCGTTGTGAAAGCATCAGCTTCTAGATGTGGCCAAGTTTCGAGGTTAGAACAGATGTCGATGGAAAGCGGGGGTAGCAATACCCACGAGATGAGCTGGAGCTAGTGAGTATTTTGGGCCCCAATTCAAATCCCATACCTGTGTTGCTGGTTAGCGGATTGTCTAAATGCTACAAATGCAGAAAACGACTTGCTGCGAAGACTCACCCGCTTCTCTGGCTGTGTACTGCTCCCGAAAAACCGAGCAGGTGGCGCATTCGACATTGTGGCAAATCTCCAAAGGGTAACCAAGATCCCCAATATGGCAGGCGCGACGAGCACCACAGAATCGTAGTGGAAAATCTCCTAGCAGGGTGAGCAGTTCAAGATCGCGACTAAGAATGAGGTTAACTACTTATGGCCTATCATTGACACGTAATGTTATGAGAAGTTATGCGTACTTGGCGGGTTTGAATGTACCAGGCCTCTGCTCGTCGGGTTGAGAGGGGACAGTTTTGATATCGAAGAGGATTATCTCTTTAACGTGGGAGCCTTTGGTTCGATCGAGCCATGAGTCGTAAAAAAGGTGTTCAACTATAAATCATGTCTTATTAACCGAGGAATTGAACACTGGCACTATCGAAATTTACCAACCTCTTTTTGAAAAGGGAGTATGTCTTTCCAGCGGGCTCAGTTCCTACGAGCGGTAAGCAGTTGCTATAAGAAGTCACTCGGTGTCCACATACCACGATCATCTTTGTCGACACTGGCGGAGGGGGGGTTTGTGGGGTTGCCCTGGATGCCCCATTGATGCGCACCGATTCGTAGGTCTGGTATTCACCAGCCGCATTGCTTGGGATATTCCTCGGACGCCTCTCTATAATACGGGGCATATTTGCAAGGTCAACGGCAGGTTCGGTTTCAGAGATCGTCGAATCAGAATCTCTCATTGAAGTGTCCTCATCCATAGGCGAAAGAGGCACAGAATCATCCTCGGGCGACTTATCCCTATTTTAGGTCAGCATTCTCAGTGCTCTGGCAGAATCAGAGGCAAGAAAAGTACCTATTCATGCTGTCGGATCGGAGTATAAAAACTTTACACAGCACGACAACAGTTGCTAAAGAAAGAGAAAAATAAGACTCCTCTATCCCATTAAACAACCAGAAAGAGACCAAATCTCTATTCATGTAGACGTTGATTTAACATGGCTTTGTTGTACAACGGCAGAGCAGGCGGGGAAATGGGGAGGAGGCTCTTCCCCCGACACCCGCATGACACATCATGTATCATAAACCTCAGCCCAAAAGTCACAATTCCCCCCAAAAAAAGGTCTTACTCATTTGGATTGGGGCTGGAACGAGTCAGCCTCGGGCACACCCGTGGACAAGCTACATGAAAAATACAGCTAAAATTCGTACAGTTGTCTAATACAATAGGATAATTTGAAAATTACTGTGCCATAAAAAAAAGAGAAAAAGAAAGAAAGAAAGAAAGAAAAAGAAAAAGAGGAAAAGATGCTTCAATGAGACACAATAACACTGTATAATAACAGGAATCAGAACAATTAACGTGGTGTCCACCCTTCTCGCCTGTATACGACTAGGCCGAGCGGCTTGAGTCTTGCTGGGTCGTAGACAACAGTTTCTTGGTAATCAAGTGTGCCACCCTCAGCTTTGGTAAGCCCTTCCACCTGTGGATATAGTTAGCTGATCGGAACCTTTGTATGTCTTCAGCCAAGAACATACTGAGTCACATGGGCCTGGGATTCCCGCGGCTGTCATGTCTACCGAATTTCCAGGATCAAGCCCGCAGATAATTAAAACATGCTTATGGGAACGGACGTGGTGGTTTCTGCTATATATGTTGGCTTCTAGAGGGGTATAGTCAGTGACTATGTGGAAACAGAGGATGGACTAAAAGGAATAAGGAGCTTACTGGAGGAGACCACACTCGAGTAGATTCCAGGTCCGAACATGGATCGAGTATCTAGCGACGTATTAGCATATTGTGATGAAGCGGATGTTGATTGGGTTCAATAACTCACTGGCATGATTGATCGAAAAGCCCTTTTTGAGGATGCCACAGAGATAGCATTCTGTATTGTTACAGGGCTCTAGAGAATCACTCCCGATCTTGCAGGCGCGCTGTGTTCCATGAAACCGAAGCTTGAGTCCGGGCTGTTTGGCGTTCTTTCTGAAAGCGAGGGTATCAGCTCGGCATTGATACTCTGCTTGCTGGCAGCCGGAGGGGTATACACACATGACATAGATAGACACAAGCTTGGCTCTTGTGTTGGGGTGTTGCCATTGACGATAGAACATGCCCGAGACTAGCAGCTTCAATGTTAACTAATATCCGTGGGTGAACGGGTGTCAGGTACCTTTTTTGTAAAAGCGGGTGTTGTCGTCTAACAGTACCAGTTCCTATAACAAATAACGATGAGCAAAAGCAAAAGAAATATTTTTGAGATGGCTCATACCATGATCTTCTAAGTCACTATCACTGTAGCTGAAGAATAGTATAGCTGGCAACTAAGAGGGCTATATATCTACCCCCGTTGCAATAAGCCGAGCCCCTTCTTCAATACCGATGAGGCTAACAAACCAGTGTTTTACAATTTCAGTATCCGTTAGGCTGCCTTCATTACACGATTCGGTAAGAACACGAGGCATGCGCCAAGGATCGCTGATGGCCCGACCTTATCTGACATAGTGCAGGCTGCCGCTGGTTCAAATATGGTCAATTCTCTCTCCGACATCAAATTAGCAACACCCGACAAATATGCCTTTCCCGAACATCAAGTCCATGTTATGGGACCTGGCAGATGAATACCGCCAGCCCATCTCAAGCCCAAGAAATATACCACCACGTCATAGTTATCATGGCCATCGTGGGGATACCGAAGCAAATCCCCAACGGCAAGTCCTCAGACAAACCGCCCAGGAGACCCTCCACGTTCTCCCAGGTCTCCTGAACCGCCTAAACTCCGACCGGAAAGCCCACAAATCTAAGAAATTATCGTCGAAGTCAGTCGGACACTTACACCCCAGCGACTGCCCGCGCTTCCCAACCCCCGCAACGATCAGAGTCATCAACGATGATACCCTCAACGTCGCCGTCAGACTATTTGAGTCTGCACAAGCAGGCCGTATTGATCCAAGCCCGCAGAACCCCCGCCCAATAATCATGAATTTTGCCAGCCACCGAAAACCAGGCGGGGGCTGGCTGAACGGCGCGATGGCACAAGAGGAATCGATCTGCTACCGGAGCTCACTGGCGCTAAGCCTCAACAGCAGGGATTACCCGCTCGCTCTGGACGAGTCAATCTACAGCCCCTACGTGCTGGTCATGCGGAGTGACTTGGCGTCCGGACACACCCTGCTAGCGTCCCCCTCAACCCCGCCAGAAGATCTTCCCGTTGTTAGCGGGATTACCATTGCCGCTCTCTATCGACCTGCAATTCGGACACTGGTACCGAGGGATTCCCAAAAGCAGCGACGTGGCAGCCCACACTCACACTCACACAGCTCATACCACAGCTCACACCACAGCTCACCTTCACCCTCGCCCCCTCGTCGACATCCGCAACAAGTTTTTGCGCGCGACAAGGATCGCAGGCTTACCAAATCCAAAATGAGGCAAGCACTCCGTATTGCAGGAACTAATGGGCACGGCATGCTAGTCCTCGGGGCTTTGGGCTGTGGGGTCTATGCGAACCCCCCTGCAGAGGTTGCGCAGTGCTGGCTTGAGGTTCTGAGGGAAACTGAGTTTCGCGGGAACTGGTGGCGTGAGGTGTGCTTTGCTGTTTATGACCCGAAGAACGAAGGCAACTTTGCGACCTTTGAGCGAGCGTTGGCTGGGAAGAAAGTTTAGTTTTCCTTTTTTTACTTTTATCTTGTTTTGTATCTTTCAGTTTTATCGTAATACAAAATAACGTATTCGTTGATACTATACGTCTAATCGGGTTCCTTCGGCTGACACGGTTGCCTAGTGAGGCTACTCCGTACCTTCTTAGTGATTTGGCAACATCTTGTCCAATACATAAGTAGGGCTTTGGCAGGGCTGGGGAAAAACCAAATATGAGGCGTTAGTGCGGTCGGGGGAAATGACTGGTGGTAAAGCTCAAAAATACCGGTTATGCACATCGCACCTGGGCAGTGTCGGACCTGGAAGGGTCAAGATGAGGCTCTGTGGCTGTGCTCTAGCGTACCCGGGATTGAGAACTACCCCGAAGAGACCATTTGGGTTCTTCTCGATACTCCAAAATAGCTCCCCTCAGATTTCAATGTTCGAGCCTGGGGTTACCAATATTCACATTTGAATGTCGCTCAATATGTCTCACAGCGGCAGAGATGAGGAATGGCTTCGAGCCCAGTTGCACGCCCTGAGAGGGCCAGGCCCCAACGAGAAAACACTCCAACCCCTAAAATCGAAACATTCGGCAACATGGTCCAATACAGAAGTTGATCAGTCAGTCCTTCTCCTTACCCAGGCATCGGAGGAGCGGAGACATGGCGAGATTAAAACAACGATGAACTCAGCCAAGATAAAACGAGATAAATGGACGTACGAGGACTACGGTAGCGTCTTGAGACACATTGTCGGCCCCGGATCTGTACCTGTGGGCGTTATTGAGAGCGTCTTACATCTTTACAAGACCAATCAACCAAAAAAGGCCCGGACGGGATCCTTAAAATGGCGCAAGTCGGCGACCGAGGATGAAACAGATTCTCTGATGGCCGATCTAATGACGACAGCCTTGGCAAATAACCGACTTGATCAACTCCGAGTTTTATCTCACTTCGCTGGCTCGGATGTTGTCAGCAGAGTCATGCCAATGGCGATTTGGACAAACAACATAGAGGGCGTACAAGTTCTCATGGAGGAGAACGCTGATACGAATACCTGCCCGAAGGACTTTTTGAACTCTGTTGTAGCTGGGAAGCTGGATTTTGTCCGTCTCTTACTTCGATCGCAAAGACCAGTTTCAAATTCTATCACTACGCAGGCGTTGCCCACTGCAGTTAAGCTTGGGAACATTGAAATGGTCCAGCTGCTCCTTGCCCATGGAGCCAATCCCAATTTTGATAACGGTCTGGCATTGAAAAACGCAGCTGATGCCGATCGTGCTGACATCATCATCTTGCTCCTGCTATGCAAGATACCTCCCACTGGCGCTCTGTTAGGATCGGTGATATTATATGTATGGTCAGAACCTGACATTTTTGGCGGACGCCAATACCAACTGATCGAGGTCTTATTGAATGGAGGTGCCTGCGGGAACGATGTTGATGTGGTCTTATTGGGTTCCGTCGCGCAGTGCTGGGGGGAGTTGACACGGCTGCTGATGAGCAAAGGGACTTCCATTGCCTGCTGTGATGGCAAAGCCTACAGGCAAGCGGTGCATGCCGTTGATTACGACATGCTTGAGATTCTCAACATGGGCAATCTAGGAAAAGACTTGGCAAGTGACATTTTTGGCTCCATTGACAGCACTCGGTTTGCACAAGAAATATCGCCAGAAGACTGGCGCAAGCTTGCTTTATCTCTTCTGACCCAAGGGGCTACGGGTGATGTTGTTCACGAGGCCTTGGTTAGTCGAGTGGAAGCGAGAGATCTGGAAAGCGTCATATTGCTCCTTGATTCCGGTGCGTCGGTGGATTATGAAGGCGGAAATGCATTGATCATGGCAGTTTTGCTTGAAGAGTTGGATTATCTCGTACTGCTTCTTCGTCACAAGCCTAGCATCGAGTCAGTCAACGCAGCCTTTGCCCACGTTTCCAATATTTCCCATCATGTACAGTTGGACATGACCCGCAGACTCCTTGAGGCTGGAGCAACCGGAGCTTCCGTGGATGCAGTTTTGAATATAGCCGTGAACCTACCTGCCTGCCAACGAAATCATATGTACATTGAAGCTTTAGTTGACGGCGGAGCAGATGTTGGCCAGAAAGAGGGCTCTTTGTTCCACGAAGCGGTCCTGGATGGAGACGACAAAACCCTTGAGATTTTACTGGGCGGCAAATTCCAGACTGCGACTCTTTTTACATGTATTCCCCTTGCTATGAAGCTTGATGAACGATGGCAGTACAAGGTACTGGAGATTCTTCTTGACAATGGTGCCAAAGGCGGTCCTGTAATCGGCCAGGCTCTGGTTGACAGTATCGACGAAACAAAAGACTCGTCAATCCGGGTGACTGAGCTGTTGTTGAAGAATGGGGACGCAAGTACTGCCTTTAATAAAGGAGAGGCGCTCAGAAAAGCGACATTGTGCCGAAATCTGGCCTTTCTAAAGCTTTTGCTTCAATTCAACCATCTTGACGAGTCGGAATTCTGCTCGTGCCTCTTGGTCGCCATAGGCCTTCCTCGGGACCATGTCAGACCAGAAAAGGTCAAGCTCTTCCTCGCCATTGGCGTTGGTATGTCAAACGAATATTGGATTACCTCTCTGAACCACGAGATGCAATGCATGAGGCAAGATGACGAAGAAACATTAGTGGTGATCAGATTTCTCCTCGATGCAGGAGCCAATGTCAATCATAATCATGGGGAAATTCTCTGCAATGCGATAGATATGGGATACCTTGAGTGCTTCAAATTATATCTCGGTTGCAAGCTTCTCATCCCATCACACGAGGCTGCATTCACAAAGGCATTTGCGTATGTCATGAAGACTACTGATTTGCGTTATATGAAAGAAGTACTCAAGTTAAAGACACCAACATTACTCCTCAATGGCGCATTGCTAACTGCCACGGAAATTGGAGAGCAAATGAGAGATGTCTGTGAGCTTTTGCTCGAGCACCATGCTTCTCCCAGCCATAAGAGTGGTGCCCCACTATGCAATGCAATCAAGTCCAAAAACTATCAAATCAGCATCGTTAAGCTGCTCTTGGATTTCCAGCCGTCGAGCGAAGCTATTGCAGCCGCTCTGGACTGTGCGTTTGATGCCCTTGGGAGCGAAAAACGGCTTGGAGCCGTGAACCTTCTCCTTACTTCAGCAAAGCCACAAGCAACACTTGACGAGTTGCTTTTGAGAGCTGTAAGTCCGTTTATCACCACGTGAAGGTATAGTGCTAATTCTGTTGCAAATCAGGTACAAGAGCCGTCGTGTGACCGCTATCTACTCAAATCCCTCCTTCGGGCCGGTGCGTCAGTATTATATCAAGATGGTAAATGCATCCTTCACGCAGCGATGAAAAACGACATTAAATCCCTGCGAATACTACAGCGATATTTCCGCGACCAATCGGCCATAGTTTCACGGGTATTTGAACACGCGTGGGTGCAGGGAGCCAGAGCCGAACTCCAGGAACCCGCCCTCTCCCTCCTTCTGGAAGCAGGCGCAACGGGTAAATGCCTAAGTGTTGCACTGGTCGATACAATCGAAGAATTCAAATCCTCGCCAAAGTCCCTCGCGTTAATTACCAAGCTTCTGAGCGCGGGCGCTGATGTCAACTTTGATAATGGTGTCAGCCTTGTAAAGGCGGCAGGAATGGGGAATATATATGTGCTTAAGGAACTTTTCGCCCATTACCCGCACCGCGACCATATGACGCTGGCCTTCCCGAATATCTTTGGCTCCGGTGTGTCCAGCCAGATGCTCCTCGCCATTGTCAAGGCGTTTTGCTCTCATCAGTCTCATCCAAGTCTTACCAACACCCCCCATCCTATCCTTTTTCTGTTATTGCGGAAATATCCCCAGGAAAAAGAGATTGTCAAATATTTGATCGATGCAGGTTGCCCAGTTGATCCACCGGTAGAGACGGAAGGGGGAACATATTTGTCATTGTTACACTGGGCACTCATAGAAGACATGGACAGGATTTGCGACAAAGTCTTTGACATTCTGCTGGATGCTGGAGGTACGTCCCCCATCTGGAAGTTGGTAATTGCCCTTCTAACCCAATACCAGCAAATCCAAACTTCAAGACTGCGTCCGGTCTCACGCCTCTTGAAATTGCAATTTCGATACCACGACGTGGAGTCGTTGCAAGTCTAATACGCCATAAAGCTGACGCTACAGTGTCGACAGGGGCAATGAATCCCCGGTCCATGCTCTTCCTTGCCGTAACCACAGGGGACAGCGACATTGTCCGGTCGGTCATGCTAGCTAGCCCGATGGTGCGCGATGGGGCACTCCATGAAGCCGCCAGAGAGGTGAACGTCAAAATCGTTGAGGTCCTAGTAAGAGAGGGAAATCAAAGGGACTACGCCTACTCTGGCTGTAATGGTCGCACAGCATTGGCCGAGCTTTGCCTGAGAGCAGACGGAAACGAACCGGTCCATGAGCTTAAGCGGGCAATGACACTTCTGAAAGATGACCACAACTTCAGAATGAAATCACACGGAAAATCTGCCCTTCACTTGGCATTGGACAACCTGCGGAACGCACCATCCGTGACACGGGCTCTTCTCGACAGCTTCATGGCAGACTATGTCAACGACGATATTAATCTATACGAAGAAGATGGACTGTTATACTCGCCTCTAGCCTATGTCGCGAAGCATCGGAATAAGGCACCTTCAACCTATGATGCATCTCTACTGCGGCTTCTCGCCCAGTTCGGGTGTAGGAACAGGTTTTGGGCCCGAGCAGGACATCCGCAGCCCGCTGACGTCATAGATCCCCCGGATGATATTTACCAACTTATAAGCGACCAGAAGAGTAATGAACGGATGCTGGCACGCATCCGTTGCCAGTCCGAGGAAGCCCAAGTCGGCATAGCAAAGCGGCACGAGCTGATTCTCAAGAATGAACAGAATGCAGCCGACCAGAGAGCAAAGCTAGAGAAAGAAGCGGAGGCACGCTGCATTTCCATAGCGACTAGTCGACATGCTGCAGAGCGTGCACATATGGAACAGCTAGCTCGGGTAGCTGAGCTCGCTAATGCAGGTTATCGGAGCTCTGTCAACCTTAAACTGGAAGATCCATTGGCCCAGTACGCCAAATTGGATCGCAAAAGGCAGGACGCTGAGCTAGAGCACCTTAGAAAACAGCAAGCATTGATCACGGCCGGCTGTAAAGAACGGGCGGAGATCGAAAAAAAGAATCGCGAGGCTAACGCGCTCGAGATGCGGCGTCTCCGAGAGCTTTGGTTTGAAATTGATCCATGGGATTAGAATCGATAGTGCCCACAGTCTATAGCAATCAATGCAATAGCTCCATGTGCAGCCAACAATTAGAGAACAATGCAAGACTCCCGGGCTTCAATGGGTAATTTGTTTATACGCGGTAGTAGCGGTGTCGAAAGCGGTCTGAAACCAGGCATTCAGGCATAACACCTGAAAAATCAAGCATTTGACCCTTCGCAGGATCTCGCCAACTATTTAGTTCCTCTCTCCCGTATTCAGAGATCCCAGATCTTCATTTCTAGATTTCATCAGAAAAGCTTTTGAACATAAAGAATTAAAGTTGAACTGTCTACCAACATGATCAATACTACACTTACCCCAACTCTCGGCAAAGCAGCCTTGATAGGGCAACTCGCCATCGGCAAGGGCCGCCAGCCGAGCTGAGAAGAGGGGAAGAATGATAAGATAACCATTGACGTGCTATTTCTAAGATATCGTGAATCCCTTCGCATCAATTTTTCAAGATCTTTGGATATTCCCACTGCAAAGTATTGAATGAACTCAATCCGACCATGAAAACTTTCGCCCTCCTCGGCCTGGCCGCAGTGCCATCGCTAGCCCTCAATATTCCCCCCATACAGCAGCTTCTTTTCCCCGAAGCCGATCTGTCGGGCAGTCATTATAACCCGCTATCCAACCCATCCACACGGGAAACCTGTCCACAGCCACCCAAGGCCCGCACCCCCAATGATGGCTTGCACTCCTCGCAGATCTTCCTCTCCGACGATGCCTTCCGTGCCCGCCAGGCAGAGCGGCTCTCGCGCGCGGTACAGATCCCAACCACCGTTGGTGATTATATGAAAGATCCATACGATGAGGCATTTGAACCTGTAGTAGAATTTCAATCGCTGTTGGAGAAGATGTTCCCTCTGGTGTAAGAAATTCTCAAATCATTCAAGATTGCTTGCCATGAAGGGAGAACTTACTAAATAAACCATATAGACACGAGCGTGGCAAGGTTGACCACATTAACCGCCTCGGTCTAGTCTTCACCTTTGAGGGCGTTGACCGTTCACGCAAGCCGCTACTCTTTATGGCCCACCAGGACGTTGTCCCGATCGACGACCCATCAGACTGGACCCACCCACCGTTCGCAGGTGTCTTTGATGGCGAATGGATCTGGGGCCGCGGCTCGAGCGACTGCAAGAACGTTCTTATCGGATTAATGTCTGCCGTGGAAGACCTGCTCTCGCAGGATTGGAAGCCACAGCGCACAGTACTGTTTGCCTTTGGGTTCGACGAGGAGTCACACGGCTTCCTAGGTGCCGGAGCTATCTCAGCAGCTCTAGAGGAAAAATACGGCAAAGACTCTTTCGAATTTATCCTGGACGAGGGTGGAATGGGACTGCAGAGCCTGGGTGATGATTCCGATCCCAACGGCGAGATCTTGTATGCTCTCCCGGCTGTCGGTGAGAAGGGTAGTATCGATCTGATTATAGATATTGCTGTACCTGGTGGCCACAGCTCTGTCCCGCCTGCGCACACCGGCATCGGTATGATGGCGGAGGTTTTGTACGAGCTTGAGCGGAAGGAGCTATTCCCCGCCTGGCTGGATACCAACCACCCCGCCCACGGGATGCTGGAGTGCCAGGCACGGTATTCGCCGGATCAGGTTGAGACCTGGCTATCCGATAAACTGAAAGCAGACGACCCGGCCGCTCTAGGCGAAGCTGTTGCCAGTTCCCGCGGTCCCGCAGTCCGATATACAATGCAGACATCGCAGGCGATAGACCTGATTCACGGTGGTGTCAAGTCAAATGCGCTGCCGGAGAAGACCTCAGCAGACGTCAACTACCGCGTGGCCTTGCATCAAACGCCCGATGAGATACTTGAGCGCGCTATCCGACTTATCACTCCTATTGCGAAATCTCATAATCTCACTCTGCGGGTTGCCTTCCCCGGTGTGACCGAATCCACGGAAGGAGATGTGAGCGATCGTACTCTCACCTTGTCCCCTCTCAGCGTTCCCCTTTCCCCGGCTCCGATCTCCCCGACAGATCCGCTCACATCGAAGGTGTGGGCGCACTTTGCCGGAGTGGCACGTAGTGTCTTTGAGTCGCACTCGAACCCGCTTTCCAAATCTGCCTCTGGATCCAAGCCGACAGTTGTTGTTACGGGAGATGTCATGACTGGAAACACAGACACGCGCTTCTACTGGTCTTTGTCGGAGAATATCTACCGTTGGAGTCCGTCGCGGGCTGGCGGATCGCTGAATATCCACACTGTGGATGAGCGGATCCGTTTGGATGTGCATCTTGAAGGTATCATGCTTTACTATGGTATGTGCTCTTTTTCGTTCATTGTTTCTTTTAGAAAGTCTGGCTAATTTATAACAGACCTGATTCGCTCCTTTGATGCTTGGGATGGAAAATCTGAGTGAGCATACTTTACTCTATTTCGGGATATTTTGACCCATATATATGAAGGTCCGGGGCATAAGATGTTTAGATTTTTAGATCCTGCCATTTCTGGCCGAGAACTCAATACATGCTTATGCTGCCTCTAAATTTAACTAGCAGAATAGTAAAATCTTTGCTCGATCGATTACTTGGTTATTTCACAAACCCTCAAGGGCGCCATGCGGCCCGTTATGCTACAAACAGGTAGCTATGTCGAACTTTGATAGAAATACTTATGTTTGTAGTGGATCTATTTTAGGATTGATATAGTCATCGATGTTGAAGCGTCTGAACATACTTGCAAGTGATACGAATAGAGAGGACAAGGTCACAAATATCGTCACATTCTGATGTATACGCGAGGATCTCAACAAAGCTCGTACAGCCCATGCCAAAAACCAAGGCTACGGATGGGTATAAGCAAGAATAAGGCATTTACCAAAAGTGGAATCAACGAAGCGAACGGAATGTATCCGGCACGTCTTCACCGTTACTGGTGGTAGATATACTGGATCTGAACTTCCAAGCAAGAGTATTCGTGGGAGAAAGAGGCGATCAACGGGGAAAAATGCCAGAAGGCGATATATGTGAAATAAATCAACAAGAAGCGAAAACATCCGCTAGCGGACGAGGAGAGGAGCGAAGGAACCACCCATGACGGGGCGAGCGACGAAATGATTTCCAGGGTAACTAGGTTTCATCAGCAAGGATCATTACAGGCTTGAGTATAGATTGGCTTACTCTCCTGAAATAGTTTCGTACAGATCAGTCAGGGGTCGATTGGTCGGTGTCTCGTTGATCCAGGTCGCAAGGTCCTTGATAAACATAGCCCGAGTTTCGACTGAACTGACCGCAGCTGCAAAGCACTCCCAGTCACCTATCCAATTGTGAGTAATTTTCTAATACGTGCTCAGCGGTCGGGGACTTTACTTTTAGTGTATGTGTGGCGGGTGTCCAAAGGCACACCGTACTTGTTTTCAACAGTCGGGTAGAAGTCGCTCTGCATTTGATAGACAGAGTTTGGAACAAGATTGAGGCCCAGCTGGACATCGGCAAAGAGGTTGTAGAGCAGACCTGCAGAAATGATAAGCAAGACTTTACATACTCGAAACAGAGGGCTAAGCATACCATGACTGGCGGTGTTACCGTACGACAAGGTCGTTCGGGGCGGATTAGCATTCTTGGCAGTGGCCAGGTCCTGCCACTGAGTGATGTAGTCTTTGGCGATGCTCGAGTAATTGGCAGCGTCGGCATTATGACCAGTCTGTTTGGCAATCACTGCCATGGCCTCAATACCGATCATGCCCTTGAGTGCGAGGTTGGTTTGGTTTCTAATCATGCCAGTTAGCTTTGAAAGTTTCTGGAGGGAAGGGCTCACTAACGCTAGGGGTCCAGCAAAGTCGTCTGTGGAGATCTGGTTTGCCGGGTAAAGCGAGCCCTCAACCAAATAACTAGTCCACTGCTTTAGCAAAGGGTAGTGGTTTTTCAAAAAGTCGGTGTCACCCGACTTCTGCGCATAAGCCAAAGACATGATGAGCATATTTCCGCACTCTTCCAATGGCATTTTCTCGTCGCTTCCATCGGAGTGACCTGTGGCGTTCGGGTAAGACGAGCCTAGATCGTGCATGGAATAGCTGTTTGGGTATTTTCCAGCCTCCTGGTTCTCAAAAAGAGGACGGAGGACAAGCTTAAGGAACTCGGGGTTGGTATATAGGAAAATCGGGTATGCCGGGAAGATAACATCCACAGTGTTCATGTTGCCGTTGGAAGAGATCTCCTTCAGGAACAGATACACTTTGTCCTGTGTACCACAAAGCTGGGTAGCACCAAATGCCTGCCGAACCGACAGAGAAGTGATAGTGAGATAGTCTTGGCCAGCTGTGTCAATGGAATCTTTGGCCACCCTGCTATCAAAAGAGCTCGCGAGATTGCTCGATTCGCGATAATCATGGTGGAAGAATGAAAGAGCGGCCAACTCTGTATCAAAGTAACTCTTCCACAAGGACGGTACCGGGCCATACCCTGAAGCACCTTCATATTGGATGGCCTGATCTTGTGTCAAGCCGAGTGAGAAGAGTGTGCTAACGGGCGAAGAGCCGACCGAGCCCAGATCGGATGAGAATCCAAACACGGGCCAGCCAGAGGAGATAGCCCGGAAGTTGGTGTCGCGGCCATTGGTGAGCTTTCCATTTTGTGCGAACTGACCACGGACATCGGTATCCACGCCGGACTGGTAAGTCATGCTTTTCGAGTCGTCGGTGGCCCAGTACCAGTTACCCCATTCGGCCTGCTGGCTCTTTTCGGAGAAGGCCAGCTGAGTCTGCCGGTGTATCTTGTGGTAGGCCACACCGTCATTGGTACCATACTCCCATTCTGCGATGGCATTTCTGTCGCCCGATGCCCATTCTAACATTTGGTCAGTCACCATTTGTAAAGAAAGAGACCATACCACCAACCTGCAGAGATATCCGTGTAGATTTTCACATCATGCTTCTGACCATCAAGAGAAGAGACCTCGACATTAAGATAAGAGAAAACGAGGGACTGGCGCTTGAGATCGCTGGGTGTAACAGGCGACAAGAAAGTTAT